ATATTTGAATTTCAGCCAACACTGCATAAGTTAGCAGATCTACCGTACCTCTCTACCGTATGCAGGCAACCGATTTTAACAACGTTGGGCTTCTTTGTGGTCACTCTACCCTGCCTGTTCGTAAACATTAGGGAGGTTGTTTTCCAGTGTTTAAATACTCCCAGCATGCATTCATTAACTACAATATTTAATGACCCTCTGCCATCACGTGGATAATGATATGGACAAAAGCAATGGCGACATGAAGGTAAGATGGATGTTTTAGGGGTGCGCGCCCATATCAAATGTCCAACGAGGGGGTTGCAATGGCGAGTCACTCATATCTTTTAGATACCGCAAACAAAAGCATGCTTTATTTCAGTCATGTGACGAAGAATTACGTCCTCTTCATATTTTATACTCACAAAGGGGTTAAAATTTGTTTTAAAAAAGGTTTTTATTATGAGATTTTTTAAGACCGCGCAATGTTTATTCACATAGCATCGTACCGGTCGTTTACTACAGTTCCTAATGTAGTGTACAACATAGTTCGCATCCATTGCAACGCTTCATTGACTCTGTATGACATCGTTTTAAAGGCACAGAAGAATATGCGATTTTCTTTACGCGGAATGAACGTACCTAGTAGGCTGAAAAAAATAAATGCTTATTCAACAAATGATCAGACCCCAAATTATCCAAAAGCGGACATACTGCCGAGTCCGCAATTATATAGGAATATGTAACAAGATAATAAGTATTACAACCGCGTCTAAGTTATCCTCCCTAATTGAAAACGCATTTCAGAATTTCAATCAACGTTTATGAAATTGGGCATTTGCTTTACCGTGAGGCACACTGTGGACGTCGTTCAAATCAACGATTATATTGTTAGAAGAAAAGATGCGATCGCTGATTGTACTATTCTATCTACAAAGTGCACGAGACTAAAGCCATATATGGAGAGGATATCTTACCGTACCTTGCCTTTTTACCCCATGCATACCGTACTGCAGAAGCAAAGGAAAGCGGGACTGGCAGTGCAGTATGCCGCAGGGAACTAGTTTAACATAAAATAAATTTTATCTAAGTCACAACCTTATTCAGGAGGAATCAAACCCGGTAAATATCCAATGGAATTTAATTATTTCGCGGTTATTTTAGGGCGTTCAGAGCAAGGACGTCAGATTTAGGTTCTCTCTGATGTTTAAAGAGGGGTAGGCGGATGGGAACGGTGTCTAAAGACTAGTCGTCCCTCTTTCATTTCCGTTAAGGCGACGTGGTGGTTATAAACACGTATGCTATCTTCGTCTTTACGCAAAGTCACCGTAGCGTCCGTACTTATGCTTTACGTGACCATAGGCTGGGTTGAATAACAATTGCCTGTGCTGACGCAAGTATTCACTTATGTAGGAACTTAAAGTGCATCACAGGACCTTTACAAATGATTCGGAATGCTTGTTTGAAGTCTACCCGGTGACCACTCTCCATAAACTGAGTCACGCGTGCACCACAGATGGACTTCTCACCATATTGTTTAAGCTTGACAGGATGGTTATCTTTCATTAACTGCCGACTGTAGGTCGGTAGATTTGAATTAAGCAAGTGTCATATCCCATTATTCTATTGTTGGGAAGCCTTATCTGTTTTTAACCTTAATTAATGTAGACTGTGCCAAGTTTTGTCTATGGGTGAGCACGGCTTCGAGCCCCGTCGGCACGATACGAGCACTTAAGCATAATTGACATTATTATACGAGCCAGCGTATAAGCTAACTTTTAGATTATGTTTGCAAGTGCCCGATGCGCCATCAGTTCCACATGTCCACCTGTCTGTCCAAAGAGTTAGTAAATTACCCGTAATATTCGTCTGAACCATCTCAACCACAAGTCCCTGATGCGGCCTATTCTAGGAACACCACGCATATTTCTCATTACCGCGAAAACCATGGCACGATGCGTGTTGCCTACAAATTAGTAAACACTTGTATATAAATACGTATCACGTTCCCCAGAGTGTTTAAACATCCCTCAATACCTGTGCACATTTTGCCTAAAACGAGAATGACACACTGTAGCGGAGGCTTTATTCGCCTGACGTATCGAATTCACACTCAAACCAATTGTCAGACACAGTAACAGATACGGGTGATTTGTGCTCAGAACGTTGGAGTCTGTGTAGGATGCAGTCCTCATGCCACTGCATGTGCAATACAGTTAGCGGTTGTCAAATCATGGGGGTTTTTGACTAAGTGTCAGCGCCGCAAAGTGGGTGGAGATGTCACTGGACCTGATGGGAGACTGGCTCCCCGTTAAACCCGACTTAACCAAAACGCGGCTCACGCGATTATCAGTCGCGGGAATTTGGGCTCCACCAATCATGAATTTATGGCGGAGTCCATTTAATGGTCCGCGACGTGACAGTTGGCGTTATTTCTTCGTATTGCGTGTGTGATTGCTGTGTGTTCATTGAATGCCACATAGAGCAGTTTTACAGTTCCTCCGCCGTATTTGTTTTGCCCGAAAATTTACCAGATCCGGCAAAACGACTCCAGCTGTCTATTGCCATGGTAGTTGGCCCTTTGTCTTATCATCTGACGACTAATGGTTGCATTTAGGCTGCGTATTGTCCGCTGGGTCAGGTTTCTCAGCAGTTGTCATGTCAACATCTGACAAGGGTAATGCAATTTTAAAAAAATAACAAATTTCATGCCGCCATGCTCGTTTTTGCGTTCCAACATAAATTGGTAATGATGGGACTTTGCGGGGCATCACTGACAGAGACGAACGTTGCGGCGTTGTTTTAACTCACCCGGACAGTTAGATATATATTGAGCAATTTTAGAACGGGGATAACGCCATCCACGGACAAACAGACTTCAGTTTTCCCGAAAGAGCAGCAAACATAGACAACAGCGGACATCGACTGTTGTTTTTAACTAATCAGGAAATCACCGCAACTTCTATCTTGTTTAATCATCCATTCTCAAATTTACTCGAGGGACTGCAGATCGATGTATGTTAATTTTGCCGATAATTTGATTACCTGTCAGCCTATTTAAAAGTAAACTCACCTTAAGCTTCTGGAATATGGCTTAAATACGTTTTCTTCATGACCGCTCGGACAGAGTCTTTCTCTTAAGGATCAAAACTCAATCGTACCTGTCGCGGTGGCCAAACAGTTTGCTGACCGAATAAAGGACTTT